TATATATATATATAGATGTGTGTGTGTGTCTGTGTACGTTACAGGTGTTAAATCCAATGAAAACAGACTCTGATTAATGCTCTTTCTAAAATAAGTTTTGTTCTTCTTTTGGTTTTTCTTGTTTTTGGGGGTGATGACATCTACATGTACCTAGGTCTAACTGTTGAGCTCATCCAGGCTCTGCTCTGTTTCTTGATGAATTTGAAGGGAAATCGAAATTTCAGTGTTGGAAGCTGGCAGCATATAGTCAGCTGTTCACATTTTCTGACAGGCCTGTGGGCAATATCTTGTGGCTCTGTGAGCACAGCACAGTTTGTTTCAAGTGCAGGTACAAAATGCAGCAGAGTGGTACGCCTGTCAAAATAAAGCTACCTTATACATTTCCCTGCATGATTACATCCAACCAAATAATTTTACAGGGGTTTGCATTGGATTAGCAGTGTGTCAGTTTGGATACAGGGAACATAAGGGACAAAAAGGCCAGGTGGGTGCTGTTGAACAGCTCTTTCACTCTGTCACACTGCAGGAGAATCGGACTGCTGAACTGTTGAATAGATTTGTAAGTCCAAGTAAAGCCCTGAGGGCCAAGCTGTTCACCTGCCAGAGGAAACATGAATTTAAAAAGTCAGTCTGTCGCAGCCTGTCAAGCAGTCAAAGCCTTTGGCTGTGAATGAGTCAGAGTGCTTCTATATTGATCTGAATCTTGCTTCTCTGCTGTGGTTTCAGTGTTTGCCAGCCTGCTCTGAGAAGACTTACAGTTCAGGTCTTCATCAAACCATACTGCAAAAAGCAACAACTGTCTGACTGGAATGATCAAATGAAATCACTCGATACAGACTGATACGCTCAAATCTTTTCTCTCACCTGCATCTGATATTTGGAGAGCTTTATGGCATAGCGGTTTTGTATGTCAGCAAGAGTCGCTTCCAGTGACGCTTTCTGCAGACAGAAGTATAGAAAATATCAAAACAAATTCAAAAACGCATCTTTTATCAGACTCATGTTTGGATGCACCAATACATTTTTTTTATAATATTATCTTTTAGCATGTACTGTGTAGGTTTTATATCCTGGTTCTAGGAGAAACAATATATCACTGTATTTCCATATGTTTGTATTTTCATATTTGGCAAACATTTCTTATGGCATTGAAATTTAGCTACATATGCCACTGACTTGTGTCAGAATATCAGAGGGATTTTATGGTCATGTGACACTCACCATGCTTAACATGGACTGCAGTTCAATCTCCAGAGACTGCCGCATACCTTTGGCCTCGGTGACCTCTGTTTTGGATGTCTGCAGGGAGGCTGTTTGAGTGGTCACCTCTTTCTTCAGAGTCTCCGTCTGCACAGGACATGCAGACAGGTTCAGTGTGGGCATAAATATTACACACACATTATCTCTACATCCACAGAAAGTGAGGCTGTGGTCTTGCCTTGATCTGGAACCAGTTCTCCAGTTCTCTCTGGTTCTTGGCGGTGATGGCCTCGTACTGCTCTCTGATCTCAGCCATAACCTCGGTGAGGTCTTGTGCAGGACTGGCGTCCACCTCCACGTGGACCTGACCGCTCATTTGTGCTCGCATAGCCAGCATGTCCTACAGATGAACAGATAAACAACAACAAATGTAAAAATAGCCCAAATTTACTGCAGTATTACTATATTAGTGTTCACTGTGATGAACTTAAAAATAGCTAGTTTCCCTCAAGTCCCAGAAAGTAAATTTAAGGACTTGTTCCCCACATGGTCTTTTATGGATCAGTACTAAAAACAGGTAATAGCAAGTTTCAAAATCAAGTTAAGAAGATGTAGTGTAAGAAATTATAAATCAATGCATACAGAAATGAACTGGACTAGGCTAAATCTGGTTGTGGCTGCTCACTGACCTCCTCATGGGTCTTCTTCAGGTAGATCAGCTCCTCCTTCAGCTCGTCGATCTGCATGCTGAGGTCGGTCTTGGCCAGGTTCAGTTCGCCCAGGGCTCTCTTAAATGCAGTGATGTCGGCCTCTGCCGACTGACGCATGGCCAGCTCATTCTTATACCTGCAGGAGGAGGGTGATTGGCATGTCCGTTGGTTGCGAAAGCATTACAGACTCTGTTGTGAGTCTGTCAGAGCTGCTGTTCAACTCACAGTATTTTATTTCACAATTACCAGCACGTGTCAGCTGTCACATAAATAAAAACAACTGAAATTGTTATAACCGCACAACACATCAGTACAGTAAATCAGCTGTCAGGTCAACATCA